TTTTTTTTTTTTTGGTAAAATAGCGTTTTGTTTTTTTTTTTTTTTTTTTTTTTTTTAAATCTGCATTTGCATCCATCCTAACAGACAATGGTTATGCAGCCTCTACCTTCCTGTGTTCCAGCTAAGTTTAGAACTATTCCACCAAGGTGGTGAAATTATGGCATTGGTGTCAGTTTTAAAACTTATGCTTTGCAGCTGGATTTTTCTGAAACTGTACAGTAGTTCCTTTATTGATGGCAAATATTTTCTTTGAGCCTTATTCATGAACCTCTCCGTATTTAAAAACTGCCTGTGTAAGGATGGGCACAGTTCTGTTTTCAAAGTAGTTAGGTTTGCGTATTGTATGTCTTCGTGCAGTGTCAACATTCACCACCTGGACTTTTCCAAACTTTTGGGGTTAAGCGAATTCTAAGGCTCAAATATATTAGGCTATTTTTATTCATAACCTTCACGTTGACCATAGTTTTGCACTATTCAAATGTGGTTATATCTGAAATTTCAAGAGGCTTCGGTCCTATGCTCCAAATAAAGTTGAGTACCTCCACAGTGATGTTTTTGGTGATTGCAGGATGAAAGTTGCTTTGTTTCTTATGTTCAGGCCATACTTGGCACCAGATTTTATGCTGCCAAATCCCAGGTCATGTTATCCAAATCAGCTAATGTTAAATATAGGTTTTGTTTTTATTTATTTTGACCGCTGGTTCTTTGGCCTGTGGCTGCCCTTTGCAAAAAGCACAAAGGCTGTAGTGTTCAGTTATGCATTTAAAATGGTTTAATCTTGGCTAGCTTCACCTGTCAAAAAGACCAGCCTACAAACCACATCAAGAAATAATCAACTTTGTCAAAAGACAACTATAAATATGTAAAATAGGATAAAATGCAGTAGTCTGTGACAGTAGATGGGACATAAATCATCTAACAATTTCAAAAGGATATTAGGATCTATTTTAAAACTGTCAACCTTGCGACAAAAAGGTATTAAAACTGGGACACTTTCGCATCATTTTGGTGTTTATATATATAATTTGAGGATATTTTGTGTTTTTGTGTATAGTTTTGTTTTATTATTATTAGCACTGTGCTGGGAACTTTTGGATTTTACCCCTGGCTTTTTTGTAAAAGTGCTGGCTAATGCTAAACATAAATTCAGTAAGATTATTTACGCCGGCGCTAATGATGTTTGACTTCACCAGTCGGAGATCACTAAAAATAACATTAAAGAGGTGTGTGAACTTGCAAGTATGATGTCAGACACTGTTATATGCTCTGGTCCCCTCCCTGCTTACCGTGGTGATGAGATACATAGCAGACTGTCATCACTCAATGGCTGGATCTCCAAGTGGTGCCTGCAGACATAGGCGGAGTGTGTGTAAGGCGGCCACGGGGTCTTGGGGCAAAAGTGACCCTGCACAAACAAATTAAATCTATTACATCTGTTGCTATCAAAGTGTAAATGAATAAAAAGTGTCGACGGCACATTAAATTAAGATCTGCTCATGTTGCACCGTATTTCATTTTAGGCGTTTTTACAGTGTTGCACATTATAACCAATCACACACAATTCTGTTGAGCTTAGGAACGCAATGGCCAATCAGAGGCGTTCAGATGAGTCATCGCTGAAAATCATCAGCTTTGTTGAATGCGTGCACGTTCGATAACTGAATTACGCAAAATCTCTCATCATAAACAACAAAGCACAGATGTACGTACAATGTAAGTAAGGGATTTATTTTGCAGTGTAAACAGCTTCAGTGATTATAAAGATAGTTTTGTTTTTTTGAGAGTGCGACAGATCAAAG